GACGGGCGACGGGGTTCAGGAAGATGGGCCATTTGGGCAGTAACACATTTATAAATATATATTTATTCAAAAACAAGGCAAGGATAGGCTACTAAATGACTTTTAGCAATGTAATGTCACGGCACATCCGTATTTCATATTTTCCTGATGTCTCGTATCCTACCGTTAAGCATGGTCTCACGTGGATATGCAAATGATATGCAGATGATGATATCCATTGTAAAATTGGGCGTTGTAAGCTCTATATATGGATATTTTGGGGAGGAGACGAAATATCTCCTAATCTTTTATTAGTCAGAATATTTTTCGCCGTATGCCATTTTTGGCTCTAGCCCCCATCTGGTACGAGTGGAATCCGCATGTACCGGATGTGGGCCGGATCTGGGCCGACACTATGTTGCTGTGTGGGTAACAATCAATGAACTTGGCAAAACTACTGCCATTAAAATCAAGCTGTCAGTGGACGAAACAACTAGACAAAACTAGAACTCTCTCATTATAATCACTAAAGTTGCTGGTAAATGAAATGGGAAAATTAGAGTGATATAACTATTATGCTGGCAATGACATCATCAACGAAGCTGTTATCAGACAAAATGAAAAATTAGAATGTTTGAGTTTTCATTAATGAAAACAAAACTGGCTACATTAGTGCGACCACAGACAGCAACATAGAGTCAGCCCACATCTGGGCCGTGTGGAATCCATGCGTACCGGATGTGGGCCAGATCTGGGCCAACATTATAGCCCCTTTCACACAGCGCTTTGATCCCGGAAAATTGCCAGAACGCCTTCTGTGTGAACGCAAACACGACCCGGGATTGATACTGGCATCGATGTCGGGTTGGGGACTTAGTAAAGGCCCGTACACACCTGGACGAATATCCGCGCGCGTTATTCGTCAGTGTGTTTCAACGCGTTTTTTGTGTTCACACCCAAGCGATTTTCACTGACGATGAGCCAAGTGAACATGCAAATTCATTCCCTGACATTAGATGGCACCAATTCCACTCCATAACAGTTCTCTTTTATCAAGATGTTTGTAGTCGCTGTCGCGTTTGTCATATAGTTCTTTATGTTCTAACACCAACAAGAACAGCAGCTCTACATTCATCTTGCCTTGCATCTTCCTCTTCTTATTTCTTCCTGGCTGTGTAGACGGTGACGCTACTTGGCATATATCTTCTTCGCCGTAGCATATGTGTGCTCGGCAAGACCGTTTTGTGTTTGAGCGCTCCCAAGTTGTGTTTTACTGTAACTTCAGAAGCTCCAAACACGTGAGCAAAAGCGCCAATCTCATTGGTCGGATAGTTTTTGACGCAGTGCGTCAAACAAACAAAAAAAACGAACCCGAGGTGTTTTTTTAAAAATGACGCTTTTACTCGTGGCGTTTTACGCGTCGGTGTGCACACACTGGCTCCCTTTGTTTAGTCGCGCGCGAAATTCGTCCCGATGTGAACAGGTCTTAACATTGCCGGAATCAGTCCCGGAACAAGCACTGTGTGAACAAAAGCCAAGACCAATGCCGTAAGGGGTGTGTCATAGTGATGACGCTCGTGCCATCGCGCGACTCTGTTTGTTCGTCGAAAGTTTGTGTTCGTCATCAACAAAGAAAGGATGAACAAATGTCTGCAAACTGGAACGAAGCAGAGGTTTTGGAAACAAATCAGCTTTGTGGAACGCTATGCGCGTGAACATGTTTTCGACACGTACGTTACACGTCTCATCCTGACGTCATGTGTCTTTCCGGGATATTTACGGGTTGTGTTTGAACGCACTCACAGATCCCGGCAAATCACTGGCAGTGTGACTGAGCCGAAATCAAACAATCCCGGGACAAATGCCGGGTCACATTATCCGTGTATTTTCCAGAATCTCGGTGTGAAAGGGGCTTATGTTTCTATGTCCGGGGACTCAACAACGAAGACTGCAGCCGATTAAAAACAGACCTAAAATGGTAATGGAACAACAGAACTAGTACTAGTGTTATCCAAAGTCAAAAGTCAAATGGTATAACTAGCATTCTCCAATTATAATCAATATATCCCTGCAGACGAATGGACAAAACCACAAGCTGGCTTGTTGAATACATGTTCATGATTTCGTCATGTTGTAAGGTGTTTTGTTCATCCCCACTGTGGTGCATGTGCATTGCAGTGTGCTGTTACTGGATTCCTCCGCTTTAACAGTGGGAAGAGGACAAAGAAGGACTCCTGTTGAGTCCAGCGTGGCCTAAATGTCTGCACATGCTGGAATTCGATGCTATTTGTAGTTACAGCTCCAAAGCTGGACAAGGCCTTCGGGACAGCCTCGCTCTCCCCATCTGTCTCACTCAAGCTGTTATTCACTCACTCGGGAGCTCAGAATTAAGATGTTTTTTGGCTTTGCATTACAATGGCTGCATATTCATGAGATCTGAGAGATAATGCACAGGAAGAAACAAACTGAGTGTTAGAGTGGGTCACTGGGGGTGTAATATGGGACGCACTGTCATGCAAGCACGTGCCAGGCTTTCAGCACACACACATAATGCGCATTCACATACTTCCAAAATATCGAATAGTCAAAGGTCTGTAATTTGTCTATTATTGACTATGTTTGCATGCACCCTCATATGATGAGATTTAGGCAATATTGCAGTTAAACTTTACCTCATGTAATACTTTGACCAAATTGATGCGATTAAGCTCATAATCGCAGTAATATATGTGACATAAGTCGGATTTAACCGCAATAAAGAGTAAATGGTGTTGACGAGACGGGAATATGATGGCAGACATCGTGAACAATGTTTCTATGTGCAGTTTGTCAACATATAACATTAGACGCCGTCTTTTTGTCTAATGACTGTACCTAACATTAGTCGTTCGCGGTCAAAACACTGGTGTAAACACTAAACACATTTTGATGTCGGGATATTCACTGCCCAGAGCCTGAGCCAACCAACCCCGTGACGTCACGTTAGAATACTACACAATGACGGCACCGTGGCGGACGAAAGATATGAAGTAGGGATGCACGATATATCGGCCAGCATATCGGTATCGGTCGATATATGTTCATTTTTAATGTTATCGTTATCGGCCTGGTAAGAAAATGTGGCCGATATATTAATAGCCGATAAATAATGTATTATTCCCTTCAGCTGAGACACTTGTTGAGCACTGTTTATGTTTTTGATTTTCTTGAAATATTATTGAAATCTCTTTAAAAAGAGATTTTTAAAAATTAAAATATGGTTCATGTGCAGCGCAAATCTGTCATATCGGCTATACAACACTATAATGAGAACATCATTATAATCGTGCGCTTGGGACATGGATTTAATTGTGAGACTTTTGTTTTTGTAATCAGGCTCTCAAAATTAGATAAAAATTTGGATTTAAGTTTATCGGCCGATATATCGGTTATCGGCTTTCAAATATAAAGAATTATCGGTATCGGCCAAAATTTTCATATCGGTTTCATAAAGTTTTTTTCTTTTATATGTTTACATTTGTCATGTTCCTTATATAATTGTTGATTATAGTGGAAATCCATCTTGTAAATCATGTAAACTTGATTGACTGCTTCATTTCCCCTTTAAACGAATTAACACTGCTGTGAGGGATACGTACATCTGACTATTTCTAATAATCTTCCTCTCTTCTGACCATCGTCAATCTCTCGATATTTTTTCTCTCTTTTGGAAAGTCGTGGAAACGCTTCCTTGGGTTTTTCTCATGCCATCAGAGCAAAGGGAAATACAACAGTTATATTTGCAGTTGTTTCCTGTTCACCACAAAAGAAGTTCACCCCACCTCTGAGAACCCCGGAAATGGGAAAAGGGTCCATAGAGTTTCACATACATAACAGTTATAGAGATATAAAAACCATTATTTTAATATAAGAACAAATATATGTATATTCAATATATTTTTATTGATATATTTGTTACAAAATATTCAAATATATACAAATATATAAATAGTTTGAGGGTTGGGAACAGTTTTTTTGAAACAGTTGAAATGATACTGACTTGTGACTTTTATATTAGTATACCAACGTTTAACAATCTCCGAGCTTGAGGAGCATTTATGTCGTTGCTAAAAAGTCATATTTTTACCTCAGAAACCCCACCGACGTGATGATCTTGATGAGCGTAGCATGAAGGACTGGTCGTGACAAAATGTTACCTTTCGTAATCGAAGCAAGGAAGGAATACCGCGACGTAACATGAATGATGTGGAGATGGACAGAAGGGTTGAGACGGCACTGGCTGATTCAGGCACTTTCTTTTAATCTCAGAGTGTTCAGGAGCATCAGACAGACGGAGAACTCGCTCTCCTGGACACCGATAAAAAAATAAAACTGCTCCTCTTATGTCACGCATCAGATAGTACTACTGCAAAAGCTTTTCACAGGAAGAGGGGGGGGGGGAATATAGATGACAGACGAGAGATAGAGAGACAAATAGGACATGAAACGTCAGGATCACAGTCGTCATGACAACGCTGTCACAGTCCACTGATTGGCTGGATGTTGTTTTTGAAGGATTCTGCTGATAGGCCAGCAACTGGAACTATATTTTCGAGAACTTCACGACAACTTTGCACAGTGTTTTAGATGGTTTGTTTTTCCTTGTTTGTTAGTTTTAACTAGTTTGTGTTGTGCTTAAGACAAAGGCAGAGAAAAAAGACATCTTGTTTTTTGTCCTGTAGGAGGGGGTACATAGATTTTGAGGCTGGTTTTCAAAACATCGATAACAGGCACATACACCTCACGAAACCTTCATGAGAACACGGGACGTCCCAACTCATATCTCACCCCAAAAGCAACCAAAAAATTTACTTTTTGAAAATAAAACCCATTTTTAGGTATTTCAATTGTGACATTATTTTCATGACAATCAAGCATGCTGTTTCATTACAGTAGCGCAACATTACACTCATTACTGGGAAAAAAAAAAAAAGTTAAGTATGTCTCTTGTCTTGTCATAAATTTTTTTTTTAAAAATCATAAAAAAAATATATATATATTACCGTAATGAGAATGATTTTTTTTTTGTGTGTGCATTACGGTAATGACACTTTATTTGGGGAAAATGCTTAATTTTCATGAAAGTAATTCTAAAAGGTCCAAATAAAGCATGTTTTCTTTGGATTTTGGGGTAAAATATGACCTGTACATGTTTTCATGAGATTCACCCACACACATCAGTTTGCGCACTGCAAATTAATATTGGCAATTTGGCAAATGTCATTTCCCACGTCCATTCTGACCTCACACACACAAGCACACGTACACAAGATCTACCGTCCTACAGGTCAGGTATTTTGGATTCCTCTGGGTTTGCCTTATCTAGACGGAGTGGATCACAGTAGAAGAGAAGCCTCTGACTGAAGACACTAGAACGAAAGGCTGACGCGGGACAGTCAAATCAAATCATGTTAAAACACAGACGAGACGGAAGGCAGATAATTCAAACCTTCGAAGCAGATGAGCATAAAAAATATAAAGTACCTGGATTTATATATTTATATCTACATATATTTATATATACTTTTCATATATAAATGAATATTTATCGTGTAGTCTTTTAAATGGAAGCTGAGGGTTACTCTTTTAAAAACAAAGAAAAATACAAACCAGGACACAGCTGTCCAGTACAATTAAATTGAGAAAACAAAACGTAAAAATGGGAGGGGAAAAACTTAAATGCAGCCACAAGTTCATTCTTCCACTTTTCATTAGCATTTCTCGCTGTAGTTTCCCCCAGCTGCTGGTGTGCTAGCATGTTTCAACCCGCGGCTTTGTGCTTGCCGCCGCAGCAGTGGCACGCGACGCCGCAGTGGTAACACGCTCGCAACGGCGCGTAACAGCACATGCAGGGCGCTAGCAGCGACAGTCCCAGGAGTGCTAGCCAGCGCAGGCAGAAGCGCTCTTCGCTGGCGTCGCAGGAACAGGGGTCCGAATAGTCGCCCTCGGGGTCCGACATGCAATGGTAGAGCAGGCTGTCCGCGCACCACATGAAGCTAACCCGACGAATGCACGTCTGCACGGGGTCCGGGGCCTCCTGACAGCGCCCGCGCCTGTTTTCGGACGGACTGAACATGTTTTGACAGTACACGCACCGTAAGCGCTCTCTGCTGTCCTCCACGCGTCGCGGCAGCCATTTAGCAGTCAGCGGTCGCGGCTGACCAGTGACCACGCCTCCGCCGATGCCCGTTTTGCTGTCGCGGGTAGTGTGTCCGTCCCCACTGAGTGGGTAAGAGTAAGTGTAGTCGTGTTTGGGAGGTTCGATCTTTGCGAGGTGAACGTAAGCGTCCGTGGCGTCCGGTCGCAGAGGTTTGCCCCGCGTGGCTGTGGTGGCGTGCCGATAGTCCTCGTAGCCCGTTAGCCAAGAGCGCTCGCGTGGGTTAATCCGGACGATTTCCTCATCCTCCTCGTGAAATCGAACGTGACGGGAACATGGGAACATGGGCACCGTCTGCATGGCACAAACATAGAGAATGTTTAGAGAGTTTAACACAAGCTGGATTTAGATATATGAAGAATGGAACTGGTTGATCTTGAACACATAAAACACGCACATTTCATTTCATATATTTGGACCATTTATCTTTAAAGACTAAAGAGGCATAACAAGAACGAAACCACACTTAAACAAAAGATGCAAAGTGATGCCTTTTGTGACCTTTGATTGTGTCATATTTTATTCCCACTTTGATCTTTCCTCTTTAACTCTTTCCCCTCCATTGACGGATTTTTCCGTCTTTCCACTGTTATACGGTAGGGGGCGCTATTACACATCTTCTGACAGAGTAGAGAATCTCTTGATCAAAACACATGCAAAGAAGATGCAGAAACAAGTGATATCATATGTGATCATATGCATATGAACTGTAAAATAACGCGATCATGTTTTGATCATCGTTCTGAATCCGATACAGACGTTGTCTTTGACACAAAAACATGATTTTCTCAGCCTTTTTGTTTGATTGTTTGTTTGTTTGTTTGTTTGTTTTTCTTTTGTAAAAACCGTTGGCAGGCAAAGAGTTAAAAGAATCAAACGTAGTTCCTTTTCTTCAGTTGAGAAAGGAGGAGTGTAGTTTAACTCATACTTAAATATATATATATTTTTAATATAACTGCATAATAATACATTAATACATTTCATATATTATTTTAAAATAAATTAAATATTCCTAATGCATAAAATTGTGGAAAAACTATAAAAAAAATTGTAAAAGTCTGCCTGACTGAACAGTATACTGCCCCTAGTGTCTTATGAATATACTGCAAGTGCAGTAAAAAAGTACACTGTGATGACATAACTTGAGTAAATGTTGCACAAACTGATTATTCATACAAACTCACCTGTTCCAGGTAGAAACGGTCAGAGTGCCTGTGCTGTTCATAGAGATGTCCCAGAATGCAGTGGTGGGGTTCAGAGAAGCTGATGGGTGCGAGCGTCTGCATGGACGTCTCTCTCTTCTGAGAAGAGTTCGATGAGCTGTCCGTGGCATTCTGACGGACACACACAGAGAGAGCAACAATACAAATTGTTTCCCAATTTGAGGTTGTTAGCAGTGTCACACCAAGGTGTATTTTTCCTTGAAGTTGTGATTTATACAGATACCATGATGAAAGATTAATTATAGCTAGGCTTCAGGGGAATATATATATATATATTAAAGCATCAAATCATAAAGAACTTCAAATTGAACTTTTACCATGCGGAAAGTGTCTGTGTATAAAAGCATTTAAAACGTTCCAGCAGGTCATTCTGCTTGTCCTTTGACCCCGTGTCTGGGTGTGTGAGGTTTGTGTAAATGAAGTGCTTGAGAACTATCATCAGCACTATTATCTCTGACCTTCAACCCCTGAAATCCACACTGTCTCCTTCCTGTGGCTCTTCCTGAAGCCTGGAGTCTGAGTTTAGGGCCAGCAGAGAGTGTGTGTGTGTGCGAGCATCTGCTTTAAGAGTTGACAGAGCGCCACAGGGCCATCAATAACTCAAGAGTGAGTGTGTGTGTGCGCTCGAGATGATTACAAACACAGCTCGCCTCTCTTAAGTCATCTGGCTCCTTTCTACTGCAAAGTCTGAAATCTACACTACACTGTAATACACTTTTGTTAAAGTTCCAGCAAAAATCTGGCAACTGCAGCATCAGGGTAACACGTGACACTAAAATAATGCAATAAACATTAACTACACAACATAATCTAACATAAACTCCCCACTATACATAAACCGACAACATAAGAAAAGAAAATATAAGCAAATGTAATGCGTCTCTTTGGACTTCTGGGAAAATTCTCTAACGTTTTAACCACAAATTATATGTTTTTGCAAAAGCAAACTTTTTTTTAATTTTATTTTTTACATAAAAGAATATCTATTGTCTTGTTAAATACATTTTTTGTGTAAATGTTAATTTTACTTCCACAATTTTTTAACATAATTTTACTGTAAAAATACATGGGTCATTTTGTTAGATAGATAGATAGATAGATAGATAGATAGATAGATAGATAGATAGATAGACAGACAGACAGACAGACAGACAGACAGACAGACAGACAGACAGACAGACAGATAGATAGATAGATAGACCTAAAGATAGATAGATAGATAGACAGACAGACAGATAGATAGGTAGATAGATAGAACTATAGATAGATAGATAGATAGATAGATAGATAGATAGATAGATAGATAGATAGATAGATAGATAGATAGGATAAGATAGATACATTTTGTTAGATAGATAGATAGATAGATAGATAGATAGATAGATAGATAGATAGATAGATAGATAGGTCTATGTAAGTGTATATGAGAGTGTGAATCTACATTTTGTTAGATAGATAGATGGATAGATAGATAGATAGATAGATAGATAGATAGATAGATAGATAGATAGATAGATAGATAGATAGATAGATAGATAGATAGATAGATAGACAGACAGACAGATAGATAGATAGATAGATAGATAGATAGATAGATAGATAGATAGATAGATAGATAGATAGATAGATAGATAGATAGATAGATAGATAGGTCTATGTAAGTGTATATGAGAGTGTGAATCTACATTTTGTTAGATAGATAGATGGATAGATAGATAGATAGATAGATAGATAGATAGATAGATAGATAGATAGATAGATAGATAGATAGATAGATAGATAGATAGATAGATAGATAGATAGGTCTATGTAAGTGTATATGAGAGTGTGAATCTACATTTTGTTAGATAGATAGATGGATAGATAGATAGATAGATAGATAGATAGATAGATAGATAGATAGATAGATAGATAGATAGATAGATAGATAGATAGACCTAATAGATAGATAGATAGACAGACAGACAGACAGACAGACAGACAGACAGACAGATAGATAGATAGATAGATAGATAGATAGATAGATAGATAGATAGATAGATAGATAGATAGATAGGTCTATGTAAGTGTATATGAGAGTGTGAATCTACAAACATACTAAGTACACACAGAGTTGTGTGCATAGTGTCTGGATGGAAGTGTATTTGTGGCGGTGCTAATTATCACTTTAGACTTTACCTCAGAGGGAATTAGACATCCAACAGCTGCTGCCCATTCTAAACCTACAGCACACGTCCCATCTCTCTCTCTCTCTCTCTCTCTCTCTCTAAACTTAGGAGCGACTGACTACTCTGATTAGTAATAATCAGTGTCTGGCTGGGCTTGTATGAATAGCAGTGAGTCATAAACTTCTAAAGTTAGCGATTAGAGGAACACCACTGCTGAGCGACCGTGGCAAACGCACCTAAAGCCTGAAGTCAGACCAAGAGAAACACATTCATGTTTCTTCACTCTGTATAACCTTGGGCTCTTGAATGTGTGCGTGCGTGTTAAATGGACTCTTGTATCCGAAGGCTTTGTTGTGGCATTGTTGTGTTGAATTAAGAGCAATAGGAGGACAAAGGGAGCAAAGGTCACTTCCTGAGCACAGCTCTCTCTCTCACACACACACACAAAAGCATTCATCAGAAAAATGATGGCAAGTGACCCAGTAATAGCATCTATTCTAAGAGGTTGGGTAGATAAACGAATAGAAAAAGAAGATAATACACGGTTGATATGCTGAACATTCTTGATTAGTCACAATGCTTTTGCTGGGGAAAGTTAAGCAATGCCAAGATATGTTAAGAAATCTTTGAATGAATCACTTTCATTACTCAAAATTTGTCATTTTAAAACAACACGTGCCATTACGATTACCGAAGTGGGGTATAAAAATGAAAATTATCCTCTGTTTAAAAAATGAATAATTAACCGTTCTATGCCATTTGAGGGACTTTAGTCTGACCATTCGCTCACCGTGAAAACATCGTCATCCCCCAGTTCGGCTTCATTCTGCAGGGTGGAGGAAGAAGTAGTGGAGCCTGGAGAAAAAGCAAGACTGGTGTTATAATCTCAGTCAGAATGGGACACGGCGTCCGTCTCAGGCGTTCCTCATCTCGCTCACCCTCCGTAAGGTCCTCGATGGCCTTCCTCACGCCGCGATCGAACGCCCGGGCGTCAGCGGGGCTCTGGAACGACAGGCCACACTTCCTGTTGTCCACTCGCCAGTGATGGAAAGTGGGCGTGGCCTTAGTGTAGACCAGATCTTTCTTCAGAAAGCACTGCAGAATCACCTGCTCAACACACACAGAGAGAAAGCCAAAGATATTAGGCTCGAGGAATCCGGTTTTTGAACCGTACTATGCGGTCAGCTCTCAAACCTGCTTGTCTTTGAGTCTCTCGCCGAAGATGAGAAAGCCGTTGCGTCCCAGGATCTCCAGGTCAGCTGGGACCACCTTACAGACGCCCACTCGACTGAGACCTCCGCCCTCCTGAGCCAGCCAACCCCCGCTAGACTCATCCCTCGTCATTACCACAGCTTTCACTCGCACTATGTAACTGTCACTGCAGGGAGAGACGGAAAGATGTGCTTCAATTACATTGAAGAATGAATCCAGGAAGAAATGTAATGTAGTTTGAAGAGATACTTCAATTTTTTTGGAAATAGGCTCATTTTTCAAACTTTTAGCATACATCATTGAAGTGGACAATGATATTTTTCCTATTTAAAATTTGACTCTTCTGTACTTACATCGTGTACTTAGACTGAGGGAAAATGTTGCGATTTTCTAGGCCGATATGGCTATACTCTCATTCCTGCGTAATAATCAAGAAACTTTACTGTCGCACCATGAGCGCAGCAGGCGTAATATGACGCAGCGCACAATGTAACTACAGAAGAGTCAAGTTTTATGACCCGACCGATATGGATTTTTGGGGGCCGATGCCGATACTGATAAAAAAAAAACAGATACCGATATATCAGCCGATATTATTTATGTGTATATTAATAAAGTGTAGGCGTGTGAACTGCAACTCGTCTCATAAATGAACCGAAACTCAGTGTATAGACCTGAGAAATACTGTATATCTTTATTAAAATGTCTACTTTTAAACAGAACAATTCAAAACGAAAGACAGACTGCTGTAATCCGTATGAAATGCGCATTTCTCTCTAGCGTGTTCAACTTTGCAGCGACACTGACTGAAAACACTTGTTTATTAATAAACAAATCAAATGTCTCCTTGCTATATTGGATGTATTCACAATCATTACTTTTGCCAGTTCTTTATGACAGCTTTTATGTTTTATTGGCATCGCCACCCTTACATGAATCACCGGACCCACATTTTTCTGTTTTAAATATTCATTTATTGGCCATTAAATGCAGATTAGGAAAATGCCTTATATTGGCCGATAATATCGGCCCGCCGATATATCGGTCATACTCTAATTTGATTATTCAGTTTCTGTTGTTATATGTAACTACAGAAGAGTCAAGTTTAAAATAGGAAAAATATCGAAACACTTTGGTAATTTTTTTTCTTGTCCACTTCAATGATGTATGCTAAGCTATGCTAAAAGTGGTACCGCCAGAACCAGAGATCGGCTGAATGGATCCAAAAACGGTAAAACTCAACACTTTAACTCTGGGGGAGTTGTAAAATGAGCCTCTTTCCAAAAAAAAAGTGGAGTATCCCTTTAACACACAGAAATGCACTCTCTGTATTCATGTTGGTTTGGTTGCACACGTTTTCATTTCCAATAAAAATTTTGATGGTGTAACAAACAAGAAATAAAAACATTTCCCTTACATCTTTAAAGTGTAATTATTATACATTTGAACTTTCTTAACATGAGAAAATTGGTAAAGAAAAAAAAATAATCATGAACAAATTTGTTATTGGTGTTTTTGCATTTGAAACCATTTGACTTGACTTGTCCAAAAGATACTACATACTTAAAATAATCTTGTAAATATTTTAAATATTTACTAATATGCTGACTTTTGGAGCTTATTGAGCTTATGGTAAAATATCTGCATCTAACCTAAGCAGCCTGATTGGGCCCAGACTTGACTCATAGTGATGACATCATAATCCCTTCGGGAAGATGCAAATGGCAGCTCTGCATGGCAAATGAGGTGTACAGAAATCTTGAAGAGGATGATGTTCGTTATGCTAATGAGATTTTCGGTCGTTGTTTAAAGACATTGATACGCCTTATGCAGAGATATGATAGTAGCATCCGAAATTCTGAACCACAAAAATGACAGACGGTTTAACAAATGCAAAACTTGGGATCAGGATTTCTCAGAATGTAATTTACATACTGACTGCGGTAGAGCATGGGAACTTCGATTACAGCCTCATCTTTACCTCGTATTAATGGTGGGATTAGCCCGCCAGAACAGCTGATATATACAACCTCAACTTTCATTCACAGCTCATGTCTTAAGGTTAATTTTAACGGTGGAGCCATTGAACATTTGATGAGAAATCAATGTAAACGGCAAGAACATGAGTTCATTTCCTCCTTACCCGAGCCTGAGGTTTTTCTGGAGTCTGTAAAATTACTTTCAGACTTACCAGGGATTTATTATTAACAATCTGATCTTTAGGTTTGTGTCCACATAAACAGATAAACAGGATGGAATTCTTAAAATATTGCAATATATCAACTTTCACAATTAGGGCTGCACAATATATCGAAATATCGTAAATGTATATAGGCTATATCGCGATATGCATATCGCAACGGCTCATGAACAAAAAGACAAAGAGAAAATCACTCACTTCTCTTGGCTGAATAACTTTTGTGGCTTTGATAAGAATCAGTCATTCGAACAGTAAAAACATACCGATAAAAAAAGCCAGATACCGATATATCGGCCGAAATTATTTAAGTGTATATTATAATACAGTAGCAATATTATGTATGTGTATTATAGTACAGTACCAGTCAAAAGTTTGGACACACATTCCTATTGGTGTGTACAAACTTTTGAGGGGTAGGCACGTGAACTGCAACTCGTCTCATAAATGAACCGAAACTCAGCGGATAGACCTGAGAAATATATCTATACTGAAATGTCTATTTTTAAACAGAACAATTCAAAACAAAAGACTGTAATCCGTATGAAATGTGCATTTCCCTCTGGCATTTTCAACTTTGCAGCTACACTGACTGAAAACACTTGTTTATTAATAAACAAATCAAATGTCTCCTTGCTATATTGGATGTATTCACAATCATTACTTTTGCCAGTTCTTTGTGACGGCTTTTATGTGTTTTATTGGCATCGCCACCCTTACATGAATCACCGCACCCACATTTTTCTGTTTTAAATATTCATTTATCGGCCATTATAAATGCTGATACCGATAGTTAGGAAAATGGCTAATATCGGAGCCGATATATCGGTCGGGCTCTAATTTGATTATTCAGTTTCTGTTGTTATATAAACCTAATGTAGGCCTTCCTGAAACCCCAAACCCTGTGATTTACACTGATGTTAAAATAACACTTCTTATGCTACAGTAAAACACTGGTGTTCACTTTCAGAAGTTGCAGGGATGTTTTCATGTCGCAAAAAGAACGTGAAACACGTATGTAGGTTATATCATTTATTTTACACACATTAAGCATTATTGTATTGGATATCAAATATCGCATTAATTAACAAGTTATCGCATTTTTATCGCATTAATTAACAAGTTATCGCACAAAGGAAAAATGTTTCATTCCGATCTTCTCTTTAAAACTCAATTCCCGTCGCTTCTTTCTGTATTTCACCACCCTAACACTTCCTGGCTTGCAAATCAATCCTTATCCTTACCATAAATCCCTCAGGACAGTTCAACATGACTGACTTTACCTCAAAGTCACTCTCTCTTCCCCTCTCAGATACTATTGACCCATAATGGTGCTGCATATAGGTCATGCTGGGTTGATCAATATAGATTGCATTCCTCCCCTCCCAAACGGCCCAGAGGCTGGAGAGGGCATCCGGGTCTGAGGTCTGGGCGCCAGCCAGTTCACGTGAGAACGTACACACACCTTCAGGCTACAGTCATTACCAATGGGGAGCCACTGGTTTGCTCAACACGTTTTTGAGGAACTCGCATTCCACTCCAAAAAAAACAAACACCAGCATTCCAGAGTTTTCAGAAAACTCTAAAGTGTTTAACATTCTAACGGAATACTTCCACCAAAACAGAAATCTTACCATCATTTCCTCACCCTCATGTCATTCTAAAGTAGGAATAATGTAATGACATGAGTAAATGATGATAAAATTCTAATTTTTTAAGTCCTTTTCAGCTCCCTATGATATTTATACATTTTCGGTCACAGTGAACCTGAATTATACAGTTAATTTTGAAAAATGGAGCTTGTGTGACAGCGAGAGCAGACATGCAGATATTGTGGTGACACAAGGCCTAATGGCTAAGAGGTCATTTGCAATAACACACAGGAAGTAGTGAGAACAGCACTACAGTACTAAGGACAGTGACCTATTTAGTCAATATCAGTCAGGCAAACTCAAAATACATAAAGCAGGCAAAGGTCATCAATGGTTTCGAGTAAAAATGATGCACAAATGTAGCTTTTTTATAATAAAACTGCTTATAAAATTAAAATGTTAAATAAACTGGCAGACAATTTTACACCAAATATTTGGTATGTTGTAGGGCTGTCAAACGATTAATCGCGATTAATCGCATCCAAAATAAAAGTTTGTGTTTACATAATATTTGTGGGTGCACTGTGTATATAATTATTTCATATATATATAAATACACACACATGCATGTATATTTAAGAAAAAAAAATACTATTTATATATAATATAAATTATATATAAATCTATATACATGAACAAATTTCTTAAATATATACAAGCATGTGTGTGTATTTATATATATAAAATAACTATGCACAGTGCACCCATATATTATGTAAACACAAACTTTTATTTTGGATGCGATTAATCGTTTGACAGCCCTAGTATGTTGAAACGGTGGCTCAGGAAAAGACCCAATCCAACCTATAAGGTCATTACAAATCACACTGTACAACATGGAACTAATAAACTTGGGTACGACATGCATTGTGTTTTTATGTGACGAGGAAGCGAAAGTAGAATATGGACACAGTCATGGCTTGGGAAAAGAGGCCGATTTGGCATGCCAATTTTGCAAATGGAGCTTGAGGTATAGTAGTTTTAAGTTTTAGTGTTTATTGGCTAGTCAGTAGACATTAGTCATAGCAGCACACACACTGTGAGATGATTATCATGCTAAATATCTGACACTGTCAGAAAATTATCACAAGCTATATTTGGTTGCAAGACCGCCGTCTTTGAATCTCTTTGAACCACAACCACAGAAATCGCCACAGTTAGTCATCTTTCGTCTGGGACAGGCCCAAAATCATACAATGTGTACTAGGCATAAGTCACAAATAAACAATGCATGAGATAACAATATATCAAAACAACCAAGAAAATAAAGATACACTTTACACATTTAACAAAAAAATTAATACATAAAAAGCACTGGACACTTTGTGGGGTCAGTCAAGTCAGCGAAGTGAGCTCCGTTTTTTTGTTTAAGTGCCCAGGTAGACTATATAACCTCGCGAGACATGAAACTCCAATCTGTGATACCTGGTGCCATAACGGTTTAGACTAGGCTACACAAAAAGAGAGATATGCCTATTAGGTAAAGCAGAAAGATTTCCTTGCAGTTAAATGAATTGTGCAGAGTAATCCATTCATTATTGGCACGTCATTGAGAATCAAACAATTGAGGGGCGTGACAGCAAAGTTACGCTTCACCGCTTCACTTCCGCCGGATCTTTCTTTAATCCTCTCACCATTGTTTCCCTTCACAATCATTCCGGGAGCGCCTTCTCAGAAACCTCCTCCCATTTTGGAGTAACCATAGCCCTCCCCTCCGCCGATAAAAGTCAACATTTCACAACCCCGGGCTATTATATGGGCCTTTACATCCCAGTGTGACACACGTATTTACTCAAACGGGTGTGAGTGTGCCATAAATTAAAATAAGAGAAATTCCCCACCAGCTTCGGGGTTACGCTCTTGCGTGATCTCCAGGAGAGGAAATACAACTTGAGTTTAAGCAATTAAAATGATAAATGTAACTTTTATCCTAACCAATTCCTACTTGGGATGGTCGTTGATTATAAATTGATGTTTTTAACGATGTTTTAGCGCTAGATCGCGAACAAAAATCGCCTTATAAAAAAGGTAACCATAAGATAGCTAGGCCTACTAAACACACACACAAAATAAATAAATAAATTTGGAGTTACTTTTAAAAGGTCTTTAAATATTTGACGGTTAACTAACTGTGTGACCTGGGGCAAAGAAAAGAGTAAATGTTTTTAACCTATTTAAACATTCACACGTAGCTTAGCTACGTCAATTTGATTATCAAAATGAATTCAAGAACAAAATGTTACGTCCATGTTTTCAAATTGGAGTTACAACGCCAGGAGTAGGAAAATTATAACAAAAGCACTCTTTGACATTAATAGGCACAGGTTAAGGAAAAGTAATAGATGTAGGCCTACTTTAAATTCAAGGAATATTAAATTCTGAGTTGAATACAGACGTTGAAACAATGTTATGCACCGACCTCAGTCTCCTAAATAGGGAGTTATTTAAACTACGACTCTCATTACACAAGACTGAACGATAAACGTTCACATACTCGTTAAATAAAATAAACATCGCCTAGTAGTTAATACAGATTTAGTGTACGTTACAGAAGTTTTTAAGCCCCTAAAGAGCTCACGGAGTTAACGAGCCATTTAACACGGCCCTAATGCTATTAACGAGACTTTGATCGTCCGAGTCAAACTACCGTGAAGGAAAGATACGAGTGTTTATATGTTGTGCAGAAGAATGTGGCAAAAGAAATCCCAAACTAACTAAAATATAGCCTCCCCTTGCTAAACAGTCAATGATATGCGCGACATTCACGACGTGCTTATTCGCGTTTGTTTGTTTCTTGCGAATGGAAAACACGGCCTGATTAAATTCAACATTTAAAAAGCACATATAGGCCTATATATGCCATATAGGGCCTGTTTTAACATCAGGACAGCTCTGAGGCAGCGCTCTCTGCTGCGCGCGCCCCCGCCTGTATTTTTATGAATGAAGGACAGTATGCAAATGAGAGCGATTCACGAAAAAGAAATGGCGGATATAGCATGTCAGACCACCACAAAGAAAGACACCAAGAACGGCCGCTCTGAGCGCTTATACGCGCTCATTGCTCTAGCATGGTGTGTTTATAAAACTTCTCAGTCGTCAGTTTGGTTCCTCGGAGCGGAAATTCGCATTTAGAGTCGAGGTGATATAAGGAATTCAGTAAAGGATCCCTCCACAAAATGTTTCCGCTCAAACCCCTCCTTCTCCTCCTCCTCCACCCCCCCCCTGTTCTCGGTTTGAGACCAGAGCCCTGCAGCAGGGGCCCAGCACTCAAAATCTCTTTGACACAGCATTGTTTCTTAGTAATAACATCTCCAACGTCCCTCTCAGAAGCGCATGCACGAGTTCCCTGCATTTGACTGACCCCTCGTTCAGCTCGGGAACGCATTCTTGGACACAGGATAAGATTTCCATTCGTGTCCACATGCGTCGTTTTCTTAAAAAAGTGAATAGGCTACTCACTCGTCTGGGTGCGATTCCTCAGTCATTTTCCCCCTCGTTTCACCTACAATAATAATAATATCCCGCCGCGGGCGCGCAGCGTTCGGGCTTCATGTTGTCTCTATTTTCCACCTCGCCTCTTTTTTTTTTTTAAAGTCCAGTGCATCAACGAGTTTCCCCCAAATCCGCTTCAGCGTTCCTTATTTTCGTTCTTCCTCCGCGTAATGCACTCTCTATCCGTCAAGGTTTGCAATGCATCTGCTAAAAGATCCAGGAATCCTCGCGTTATGCAACATCCCGATGGCTGTATCGATGATTGTTCGCCTCGCGTCGCGTTCTGCCGTGGCTGAAGCCTGCGCGCTTGTCTCGAAGAGGAGCCCCCATCTCTCACTACTCCATGTTGGATTGTGTAGTCAGCAGCAGCAGGCGAGCGCCGCCGACACTGGGGGGGTGGGGGGGGGGGGGGTGGGGGCTTGCGGAAGCAATGACGTCACACAGGAACGACTGCAGCCCGTTTTGGACTGAGGGATCTCCAGTGTGACGGGCTCTGCCAACGTCCCGCCACCTAGTGCATCCTCTCACCTTAATCTGTCTGCTCGGGGACGGGGTTATTATTAAAGTTCACGAGAACACACATTTTTTTTGTGTGTTCTGTCACTGTTGAAGTCCAGTTTAAGCACGGAAAAGGCAGCGGAAGAAGTGCCATTTTTGGTTCCCCAAAACTCCCGTAGACTTTCGGTAACGCTTTATTTGACGGTATCGTTGTTACACACGATACGTTACTAACGTTACAACCAACCCCTTTTCCTTACTCTAACCCTATAGTAAGTAGCCTAGATAGTATTATTTACTCAGTAGTAGGCCTACCTGAATTTATAATTCCACTGTGTCACAGACATCTTAAATAATGGGTTACACTTTATTTTAAGGTTGTATTACATTGTAATTATACATTTAAGTGGGCCTATATTAAGTAACTACATGTACTTATATGGGTTAGGGCTGGGGTTAGTTGCACGTAATTATGAATAATTGATCGTTTTTATTAGTAACTGCATGTAAAATATGTAACACGGACACTGTAATTTAAAGTGTTTCCAAATTAAGTGTAACCAAACTAAATAATTTGTGTTTTCCTAGTGTGAAGAACATATTATTGAATAAAGAAACCTTTTCCATTGTAAAGAACTGTTGAAATGGTTCTTTATGGAACAATGTCAATAATATTGCATTACTTGACATTGTTGATCTAGGCATCTCTTGAGAAATTGTATTGGCTATATATAATTTAAATAGGACCTAAACAGCTAGTCTCAATAACAAACTGGTTGTTGAATCCAGTTTTTCAGTAGCCTATGCTTTCTGAAACTTCTCCACTACAAGTATGCAAAATTCCTTGTGCTTTCTTCAAGTCTTTAACAATCTTATGTCTTAGAGTCTTCGATACAAACCCATAGAAACCTCTAGAAATGTAAATTACACTATGGTCGGAATAGTGAGGCTGTTTTGATTTGAATTGTGTGCCAAATTCTGTCCATTCGCCACGCGTTGCATCTAATCCGATTATGTGCTGCCACCTCGAGGTAAAAGAAGGCGGTTGCATTCATAACTTTTTTTTTGCTGATGGAACTAAACTCACAGATATGCAAAAAAAAAAAAAAAAAAAAAAAAAAGAATGTGCATCAGCATTTTTAGAAACGAGAAAAAAAAACACTGTAAAAAAAGTTGCTGCCTTAAACTTTTGAGGACTTTTAACTTGGATGTTTAAGTCATTTCAACTTAAATTGCATTAAGTTGACTTTAATAAAAAGTTGAACCTTGTATAACTTATAAAAAAGTTATAAAATTGCTTAACGACGTATTTTGAGGGGTTAAAGCAATGTAAAAACACATGATCTTTTTTTAGATCCAGTCTTAAGATGATACAACATCTTACATAGATAAACTGCAGTAATTGCCCGTTAAAGATTAAACAATAAAGTGCAAGAGTTAAAGTGAAAGTTATTTAGTCTTCAACTAAGTCCCTGTGACGTGGGAATCCTTTCAACATGAATAATGCCAGTAGAGGGCGCCAAGAGCACGGTCAAAACACAGTCCATTTCCGTCTTTTCCTTCCCTCACTTAAGATTTATTTAGTAAATAAACAGTGTTAAATCCATTGTGTACGCCAGTAAAATGTTACTCAGATTACACGAAATAATAAATTTGTATTTGTGGCAGATGTGCCCGGTTTCACACAGGGCTTGTTTTAAAGGGATAGTTCACCCGCAAAAATATGTTTTTTCTTTTTCATCATTTACTCACCCTCGTGTTGTTAGAAACCTGTATACGTTTCTTTTGTCTGCCGAACACAAAATACGATGCATTGAAGAATGTTGGTAACCAGTCAATGGCATTCATAACATGGTGAGCACCTTGAGAAAACAATGTCACTGCCATAAGTCACCTTCAGTTAAAACAGCTCAAACATGCATTTTAGTCTGGGACTAGCTTAAACCTGGTCTGTGAAACCGGATTATATTGTAGGCCTACATTTCCGTTTCTTTCTAAATAAAACCAAATGGGTTAAACTTAGAACTGTCCGTTATGGGTGACTTACTCATTGTAGTATTTGGACACAAACTGGTTTTTAGCTGGTCTGGCAAATCTAATCTGGACATCCGCTAAATTGCTGGTCTAATATGGTCCTCAAATTATTATTTTAATTAATATGCGACAAGTTGTCAGCTTTCTTGAAAACTGCATTGGTTTCTAAAAGGCATTTTCCCAGTGTCCAGCTGCTCCGTATAGAGTTGTGCGCCCTTTACGCACGGGTTCGCTTTGGTCCCCCTTTTTACGTCTCCTTTAAGAAGTCCAAATGCCCTCTTCTACTCCTCCTCCTCCTCCCTCTCCGCGCTCCTCACATCTCATAGAGCTGTTATTGCATTAGGAATAAACCAGCCAAACGATCAAAGCACCGAATGGAGTTTGCTTTTTCACCTTTTGGCTGCAAATCTTCGACTGGAAATAGAAAAACAAGGCAGACGTCAGACGCGCGCTTCGGCTGTTTCGGAGCGTCGAGAACTGGAATTCTAACTTACTGATATCCAGCTTTGCGTTTGTTGCTTTCCAGCTGAGTGTTTGGGGTGGATTACAATGTTATTGTTCAGCACGGGAACTTCGGGAGAGTTGTGAGTGCGGTGAGGGGCTCCCCGGGCTCGCGGCACTGAGGTCTGGACGTGTTGAGAACAGGGAGTCGGTGACGCGCAGTCCTCAATGGCGCAACGGGTGCGTAAAAACCCTCAAACGTGGCCGTCAAGACTAATTCTGCTCAGACGCTGATAAAACATAGGACATGATTACAGTCAGATGTCCTTTAATTCCTTCAATGAATCGTGTGTGTGTGTGCGTTTATACGCATAGGTTGTTTTGGAATACGAAGCAACAAGTGAAACCACCAAAAAAAAAAAAAAGACAAAAAAAGAAAAAGAAATGACCTTTTATTTATTTTCTTTTTTGTGCCATGATATTTTTCATGCAGCCATACTTTTAAAAATCATTCTTTATTTTATTCTTGATTAAATTCAAATATTTAATTTTTTTATTTTGTATAGTAGCTATTATCCTAAAATTCCATATTTAGCTGACAGCCGAGAGTAACTTGATGCTTACAGCCGATTCATAACTCATATTGCTGTCGATGGGTACGACGTGTACGAGACCGATTTAATGCTACAAAACATCGATATTAATTTCATTAATTATTTTTATACGCAGTTAAAACATTGCTACATTTCTGTTACACTATAGCCTACTTTTTGTGCATTTTGAAATTCAGCAATCGTAAACAAGAAAACTGAGTTCAAATAGCCTATGTAGCCTAAATAATAAAAATATTTTGACACGATAATTTAAGATTAAAATTTTACATCACACGTGAATTAAAACGTTCCATGAGTTCAAAATGTAAAAACAGCTCCAAAAATGTTTTCAAGCAGTAATGACAATGATTTATATTTTCCGCTGTACGATCTTTAAGTCACAAAGGGCCTGAAAATGAAAACTAATGTCTGGTTAATTTATTTGTTTTAAGTATGAAACTACTGACGTGTAATTTGTTTTAATTGGGGTTTGATGCTCAATTAAAACAAACAAGTGCCTGCTGTTAAAATCAAGGTTAGCCTATTTATTGGTGTCGATTTAGTTCAATAAAGAACCTTTAAAATCCATGCAACCTTTATTAGGTTCTTTATGGTGGAAAAGCCATGGTTCTTTAGATTAATAAAACATTTTCCACAACTCTGTAGCTAGGAAATCCCATCTAATTCTAGGCTACTATCGCTGCGAAACCTTTAATTTTAAGAGTGTAGCCATGTGTAAAGGTGTGTGTGTGTGCAACAAAATCTCAATCTAAGTTTTAACTTTCACATTGTGAATTTCCTCAGTACGAGGATCTGGTGCATTACGGCATGGATGCGGTCGGGATCCCGTCTCCGATGTACGGGGATCCTCACGCGGCCAGAGCGATGCAGGCGGTTCACGTGAGTCACGGCCCGCCGCTTCACCAGTACCCGCACGCGCACCCCGGGGCTCCCGGGGGCCCGGCGCCCGTTAACGACGCCCTAAAACGGGACAAAGACGCCATTTACGGGTAGGCTATGTGTGATTAATACCCCATGTTGCCTATTTTATTATGTCGATGAGTTCAGCTGTTGGGCAGAATGTCTAGCCTAACTAAAATATTTTTCGATGTAGTCGCTTGTTATTTTGTGCTAAACATTTTTTTACGATGTAGGTTATTCTGAAATTAATTTTGGAAATATGTACGTGTCTGACAGTGTTTTTCCCCCTTAAATTGAAGACTACAAATTCATTTTTATAGGCTACGTGTGTTTTCAATGATATTGAATTAATGCTGTTGGCCTGCAGTCACAACCATAATTTTTGTGTACATTTTGAAATAAAAAGTAGCTACAGTTCACATAAAAAATCACGTCATTTCTCCATTATTTGAAAAGGTGTGGAGAGGGGGGAAAAAGAGACAGGGCCTTGAAGCCGAATGTCTTGAGGCAGAACAGATAGTCTATATAAACTCCAGTGAATGTGTTTTGTTTTCCAGGCACCCCCTCTTCCCTCTGCTTGCACTAGTTTTCGAGAAATGTGAATTAGCGACGTGCACGCCGCGCGAGAGCGGGGTGACCGGCGACGTCTGCTCGTCAGAGTCATTTGACGAAGATATTACAGTATTTTCAAAACAGGTCAGGCCCTCGTTTGTCTTCTCTAACAACCGGTTATTACAACATAAAAAAAACCTTTAATAACAACCAACAACATAGCCCAGTTTAATTTTGTGTGACAATTGTGGGCTATATCGATATTCCGATACGATCGCCATTGTTTGTTTTGTTTTGTTTTCTTAATTTCAGATAAGGGCGGAAAAACCTTTCTTCTCGTCGAATCCA